TAGGCTGGTAGAAATATGATGGTAGGCTGATGGTAAAATTTACCAAAGCTAGTAACTTAGTAAATTGATGGTAAAAACTTTTTTCAGTGAAACCGCACAAGAAGATCGACGATCTCAAGCGATCTCTGATCAGCGCCTGGCAGACGATCCCCGACGCGGTTGTGCGTGCCGCAGTCCGTGACTTCAGGAGACGGTTGGCTGCCGCTGTGAAGGCTGGAGGCGGCCACTTCGAGTAGGACTTAAGGATGTTGGCCTCTGTGGTTTTGGGTGCATATGGTGCAATTTTGGCGCAAATAAAGTCATTATGCCCAGAGATATTGAGCTTTGATCTTGTAACGTTAATTGTGAAACACCCTGTAGATAGAGCATTGTGGGGAGGGGCGGCTTATTGAGGGCGGCGGGAAGTTGTGGCGAGGGCAGCACATAGAGAGCGCCGAGGTACTCTGGGGAGGGGCGGCAAGTCATCTGGGGAGGGTGGCACAGACGGCGATAGAGCATTGTGCGGAAGGGCGGCACATTGAGGACGGTGGGGTTCTGTAAGGGGCGGCACAGAGAGCTCCGAGGAAATTGAGGGAGAGTCGGTGCGAAGGGGCGGCAGGGCATCTGGGAGGGGCGCCATGTACGAGTATAGAGGTTAGGTATTTTAGTGAGGAACGGCACGTTGAGGTCAGGCGTATAGTGGACCGAGCAGTGCCGTTTCTTTTGTTTCGTTTTGAAGTCCCTAAACTAAATCCCCCAATTGCAGACTTCCTCTACCAGGGGCGGCATTTCAGCATCCCAAAAACGGGCTGGAATTTCCAGCGTTCCAGCGCGGTGGTTACGCCCATGTAATTTTAAAGCGATTTAAGGTCGGATTCGGATACACTGGACAATTCTGCGTAGAAAGGATATAAAGAAAGTGGAAATCAAAATACTCGTATTTGTCACTTATGTCGTGCTAGGATCGCAAAAGTCCCCACGGTGCGATGGCGGCGGCGGGCGGGGTGCAGACAAACGGCAAACGGCGGGCAGGGCGCGGTCTGAGAGTGGAGTTATCGGCCGGCAAATAGTCTGAGAGGCGACGACAGCATACCTTAGCATCTGCTCCGGAGGAGCGCAATGCACTTGGCAATGACCAAGTATTGCAGACGTTCTATTTGTTTATTAGGGTCTTTATACACCCCGCCAACCGCTGAGATCCTGTCATTGTGCTAACTAAGCAGTCAGCTGTAGCATCTTCGCACAAGCCTCGTTCTGTCGCCTCGTTATTCCACATGCCATGTCACGTTTCCTCGTCACATCAGATCAGCGGACAGCAGATGAAAGCCACCGCGCGCCACCGCTCCCGTTCCATTGACGTTCAAACGGCTCCTGACGCTGCATCAATCCTCGATAATCCATCTAATCCATCCCAGTTCGATCCGCACCACCACTGCCACCGCGTCCTGTCGACCAATTTGTCCGCGCCGGTGTGCAATTGGCGGCCTTTGATCCGGCGGCGTCGGGGCGCGGTGGGAAGATGGGAGACTGCGGTCGGTGGGCGCCGCGCCGCTCCCACCACCCGAACACAGCAGTGCAGCCCTCCGCCGGCCAATGGTCGGCGATTAGCGCCGCTCGAGGAGGCGGCGAACCTGCAGTGGGCGAGGCCGCCGGACGGACGCAGCCCCGGGCGGTGGGGTGCAGGTTCTGACGGACAAGGGCAGAACTGGGAGCTCCAACGACCTCGGTGCTTCTGGGAAGCAGCTGTGTGCAGTGGGCTTTACGCACGGATGGCACGGAAGATCCGGCAGAGGCCGAGCTAGTGGAAGGGAGGGACCGCGCAGCTGTGAAAAGAGGAAACCTCCCTCCCTTACTCTTTAGTGCATGCATGTGAAGCAAGTAACACTGGCCAAGTCTTCCCATTTTTTTTTAACAACCCAAACACATGAGTCCATCGGTGGCAGCCATCCAAATAATGCAGCACTACAATGTGTCAGTGTGCACCTTAACCCGCGCCCTGGTGGGGTCTGTTTATAACGCGACCTGGTGGGGGGGGGGGCTATTTTTTGCCCCCCCCCTCGTATCTCCGAAACTACTGGACGGATCCGCAAAAAAAATTCAAACGGCGTTCGAAAAGCCTGTCAAATTTGTCGAAGAAAACCAAATTTTATTGACCTCAGGGTCACCGATGACGTCACAGGTCAGGTCAAAGATGAAATGTTTCACCGTTCACGGGTCTTCTAGGGAATGCGCTATAACACCGAGGAAAACGCATTTTGTCGAGAATCAGCGATAGGGCGTCAGTTGCCTAGTAGATATGTTGCTGTTAGAGGTCACTGGTCATACCAGGTCAGGTCACAGGTCAGGTCACCGAAGGTCACCAAGGGTCACCACATGAACCCAACTTTACTAAGGTTGTGCGATGCATGTTTTATGGCCAGTTTTTCATTTCCAACTCAATGGTGTTGGTTATTAGACCATCAGGTACGGTTTAGGTCACTTTCTGGTGGAGGTCAGGTCAAGGTCAGGTCAAAAAAGGTCAAATTTCAAAGTTGATATTTTTGCATAAAATGGGTATTGATTCGATGCAGCTCGTCACGGGGAGTCTAATGGTGGTCTTTGTTTTGCGCTACGAGGTCTAGAATTGCTGAAAATTGAGTTTGAAAATTTGACGTCATCAATTTTGAACAGTTTTTTCGCTATAACCTGGCCAAAAAAAAGAGGTATCGATCTCAAATTTGGTATGTAGATAGAAGGCGGTAGGGACTATCACATATATTCCGTTTTTTTGAAATTCAAAAAACTTTTTTGATTTTTCGGCTATTATATTCAAAAAATTTATTTTTTGATTTTTGGGGGTCAAAATCCAAAAGTTTAAAAAATTCGAGATAGCAGTTTTGTAGCCCTGTCCATTTTACAGCTTTTATGTCTGTATCATTTTTCTGTATTTGCAAAGCTATAGGCCTGACAGCTCTTCCCGCGAAACCCTTTTTTGGGTCGAAAACGGCAGAACACGACGTCACTCTGACGTCATTTCCAGCCAACCTATCATAGCCTTTGGAAAAATTTTTGGTCACAATGTGTAAAATTGATGTCCGGGAGGGTACTGAAAGTTTGGTGACGATCGGCGCAGTGGTTCTGGAGATATATCGAAAAGTCTTGAGGGGGGGCAAAAAATAGCCCCCCCCCCCACCAGGTCGCGGGTTAACAAACGACCTCAATACATTATTTGCATTGGCCCGTCATCTCATGGTCATGAAAAAGGAATTGGAAAGGCCGATTGCTCGATTGACGGACCACGAATGTCACTGATTGATCGATTAAGCATTTTAAAGCACCATCCTCTACGTGTGAATCATACGGCGCTGATCATGAATCTTTTGAAACCGGCAATAGCGTTCTATTCGGATCATGCTGTTAGTGGCGGCGAATTCCGCACAAATATGGGTCTAATCCCAGTCCGCACGATGATTGGCAAACAACACGCGATCGGCCAATACAATCCACTAATGTCAGATATTAGACAGACGCTCAGTGTTCCAGACGAGTGATTGACGCGTATCTCACTGCGTGGTTTCGGTGGGTTTTCCAGCGTTGATGGTGCACGCTGGACCCGGTCCTTAGCCATGCATGACTGGATCTCGACGAGAATAGCTGGGAGCCATTCGCTGCAGAGGATACCGTCCTCTGGTTGCAGCCGTTTATAACACACATCGCCTCTTTGGATGATAATGCTAGAATTTCTGTGGCTAACTATACCAATGAAGTGGTTACCAGAGCCTATACACCCATGCTGCACCCATGAATATGCACATGGATTAGGTACCTATCATTATGAACTACCAGTAAAGCCCTTCAACACTCTCCTCGTGGCTCGATGTGTAGCGTCTACAATGTGTAGATTAGGCAATAGGTATGGCACCAAATGTTCAGTCTTCTCGATTTCACTGCTTCAGAGACCCTCCGCATATCAGTCGTTCATTGAAGCCCCCATCTTGCGGACCGCCGAGAGCTGTTCGGCAGATAACTGAGTCACGTCTCTCCCCTCCGTAAGGGTGTAACAGAAGCCGCCGGCCGCCCCGCCGGGATGACTCGGCACGATTTAACGAGGTGACGGGGCGCGGTGCAGCGGAAGGCAATACCTGCTTTGTGCCTACCTTATACCTACCTCCCGTCTGCCGCCCCGGCCCCGTGCTCTGTGATCTCTGTGCAGGGCGCAGGGATCATCATCAAAGAGAGGCCGCCGACCTAAAGGGACCTAATCTGGCGTAAGGGTTGACCGGCGAAGGGAGACGTAAACGGTGGAGGGAATATGGGCCGCGTGGAGGCAGAGCTGGAGGGCCGGGGAACTGGTCGAGTTTCCAGAAAGAAGGGGAATTCCGAAACACTGCTTTCAGGTGTATGTGCTGTATGCTACAGCTACGGCATCAGCTGAACTTGAGCAAGAAGACCAGAGTGGTTTCCTTTTGGGGAAGAAAAGGCACAACGAATGTAACATTAGCACCTATCGTGTACTTAGTAATTGATAAGCACGTGTAAGTTTTTTATCGTGGATACGCGGAACCGAAGGTTCAGCTACTGATTCCGTAAGCATTACGAATTAAAAACCACGTCCTGCAGTACGGCGGCCGGCTAATTTGGGCCCATGCTAGAGTACCTACTCATCGAGCCTCCCAGTGAAGTGCCACCGAGCCCGTCTCCTTACAGCGCTGCCCCGTCCGCCGCACCGCTCAGAGAGGCCGGTGATAATACCTCGGAGGATTACGCCAGCACAGCTTCCGTGCAACGTGTAATCTTGTGACAATGGGCGACTGAGTGGCGTAGAAAGTTGTCATTTAGCGCCGTAGAAGAAGCAGCTCCTGTTTTTTATTCGTGTGGTATTAAACGCACGCCTTGATTGGTTCAAGCATAGACCTCTACAGGTATGTAGAGGTCTATGGTTCAAGTATTCAACATCGTATTCCCATATTATCGAATATCACTAACCTAGCACCAAGTAATTTATTGTAGTGGCTAAATTTAAAAAAAATGATACGGGAAAATCGCAAACAAGGCATTTATTACATTCAAACATGTGCACTATACAGATGTCGCTCGAAACGACAGCAACGGTATTTTGGCAAATTAATTCAAACGGACCACAGTGCAGACTGTCCCAATAATGCACGACCTCAAAAGTCATGACAAGCGGTGCTCGGTGACGCGAACGTGACAAACTTTCATAGTTCATGGAGTCGAAAATGCGATAAGACAATCACCGGAACACCACATCAAAGTGAACTTATTCAATGGCAGTGGAAAGGGAAAATCTCATAAATATCCCCAAGGATATTCCACATTTTACGAAGCTTTACAATGTTCTACGAGGTCTACATTTCATGAAGGCGATGACTAACGCATAACCAAGGCAGACATCTTACAACGATGCCACAGAATGCCCGACGCAGCGTAAAACTATCTACACGCATTCACATGTTATTATGCCGAGATACCATTGACAAAGGCACACGATGAAACTTTGAAGGGGAACAGCATCCAGTTCGAGACACCAGAATGAAGGTTAGTCCTAAGAACCTGCGCTAGAATGCCAGACACGTATATTGGAAGCAGATCCTTGTTATTTGCATAAGTGTAGGCGGCACCCATAGAAACTGTACAGTTAAATGCAACGGGCCATGTGCTATCAGTCCTCAGCATTTCAGATTCGTTAACACAACGAAACACATCTGACGCGTACACAATACAGCATGGAGCTCAATCCTCGCAATGCGCCAAACAAAGGAGAGCTGGCGCCGAACACCGGGGCAGAAATGGCGCCCGTTACTAAAGCCACGCCACGCGCCGAAGCTGGCTGCTGGGGCGCCAAACACATCCCTGCGCACCACAGTCCTCTCACACACGGCTCTGAGCCGCGGCCGGCGCGACACCGCCGCTACATTTCCAGCGGATACTCATCTGCCGGTAGCTCGCAGTCGTGGAACCTGCGGCTCTTCTTCGCCGTGAACATGAGTCGCATGGTGGAGAGTTTGCGGCCCGACAGCGGGTACGGGCGCGCCTCGCTGAACCCGAGGCCGGCGCTGACTGCCGCCAGCAGGCGACCTGCCGGCTTCGGTCGGCTGCAGTAGAGCGCCGGCTCGCCGGGGTACCAGACCAGCGCCGTGGCCGTGACGGGCGTGTGCCGGCGCGCGCTCTTGAGCCCCTGCAGCTGGTGCCGGCTGAAGAGCACCACCCAGACGGCCTCCTGCAGGCGGTCCACCAGTGCGTCGGCCGTGCCGTCCAGCGCGTGCTCGATGTGGCGCGCGATCTTGCGCCGTCCGCGCGGCGATGTCACCACCGCCTGGCCGTGCAGAGCGAACGTGTACCAGGAGGCGCGCTCGCTGGCGGCGCGCAGCTGGCAGAACATGGCCTCCTTCAGCAGCTGGATCATACGCTCCGTATCCATGGTATTCACCTTGTCCATGACGGCGCGGCCCATGTCGCGCATGTCCAGGTGTTTGGGCACGCGCAGCTCGGCGCGCGTCAGGAACTCGCGCTGCAGCGGCGAGGAGAGCACCCGTTTGATGAGCCGCTCCAGACGGATGGTGAGAAGGCCGGTGCTGAGGATACGCTCCTCGGCATCCGAATGCACGCTGGCGTCCTCAGCCTCGTCAGAGGACATGGCGGCGACGTTGACTGGGGGGTCGTCTCAGCTAGCAACGCTGACTGGGGGGTCGTCTCAGCTAGCGCCCCTGACCGGTGATTCTCCTTAGCTAGCGCCGTACGGCAGTGAACTTTCGAACACCACCACCCAGCGGAGTCTTCTCAGCTACCACCGCACGGCAGTCTCGCGAATACCGCCGTCTCCCGGACAATCTTCCTAGCTACGCCGTACGGCAGTCACCTGTCCGGAGAATCTTCTCGGCTAGCGCCGCACAGCAGTCACCTGTTGAACATTGCCACTCAGAACACCACATGGAACAGGGACGATCGGGCCGCTGGGTAGGTAGGAACTAAAAGGAATACTAACCCTTCACTGATAATATATCCCTGTAACATTCCTTCTCACCAACCTGTTTGATAATCCTGTTTTAGATTCAAGGTCCATAATGGGAGGGTAAAAACTAACGGTCTTGAAATGTGTTCATGAAAATATGATGTATGTAAGTTCTTTTTCATGGTCGCAGCATCTTTTTCTTTTCTTTAACTTTCGGTTCTTTTTAATGCAAAAATAAATATTTTGGTCCCCTTTCCTTTGTTCGGTAACGCCCTTGGTAAATGTTGTCCACTACTTTTCCACAGCAACGGCGTGTAACCGGCCTTTTGGTTAGGTAAAGTGTCGGAATGTCAAACACTTTATAACAGTGTACAGGGTGTTGCACGAAATGAAAAAGTTGCATGTATGAAAAAGTTTTTAGGCGCAGTTAACATCAGGTATATGTATCTCAGTTGTATGGTTAAAACGTTTCAGTCGTGTCCGACTTGTGCTAATGATCCTTCACAGAAGATCGGTATCGGCATGACCAATACGACCTTCGGAGATTAAAAATGAATTGCCCCAGCCTACAGGCACCACCGGTAATATACCTACTTCGATGTCTAGCCTACCTCCACTACTATAACTCCGCAATAACGACACTGTTCCCATGGAGCCAGCGACAGTCCTCGTGATAGCCGATCTACATTTGCTCGCTTCTGCAGAACTCCACCAGTTCCACCGCCGAGAAACCTGTCCGTCGGAAAAAGTCACCGGTCGATGTCACCCGGCTCCCGTGTTCTCCAGTCACGGTGCTGGCAAAACGTGTGTTCGCCGATGGAGGGTGCGCCGGCGGACACTCCGATCTCAGCAGACAGTGGTGGGAGTCGGAGCCTACGCCTAGAGGCACTCAGCGGGGCGGAGACACAGTGAGACACAGAGAGACAGCGAGACAGCGAGACAGCAAGAAAGCGAGACAGCGGAGCCCTTGTGGACGAGGCGGGCGGCCGTTGGGGAACTCGGCGTATCGTTTGAGAGTCGGCGCTCGCCACGGGAGGGTGACGCCTGACCTTGTGACCCGACAGAAAGAACTGTGACCCCGGCTGCGACGACCGACAGACCTGTGACCCTATGACCTCACAGGCAAAGCAGTGACCACCGACAGAGCCGTTCGCCCGGCTGTGACGGTTGTTTGACCCGCGACACCGATGACCTGCCCGCCGGCTCTTGACTCCACCAGTCGTTCGCCAGCCAATGGTAGACGATCGAAAGTCGAAACCCACCGACACAGCTGCCGCACCTCACGGTGTGCTGTGGCCTTTAATTGTAACGTCACGACCCTTCCAACATGTGGCATGACACGTAAGATAAGGATAACGAGACGGCGATAACAACGCCATGGAGGGCCAGAATCAGATAAACCGGTCGAACCAAACTGTTTTCAAATCATTCAGATTTTCAACAGCTTTTAGTCTAAAGGTTCCTGGAAAGTCAGATCCAATAGCCTAACGTAGGGAGCGAAACTTCGTTCGAAGTTGGCAGCGGCGTCCGTTCATGCCGATTGACGGTAAAACCATACACCGGTATTAATCCTCAAGATACGACGGCCAAAGCGAACAGACAACGCCAGACCGATGACAATCGTCTCCCGGCGCCACGCAGCAGCCGAGAGGAGCGCTGTTCGCTGCCGTGCTGAGCGCCAGGTGCTCCCCGCTCTCGGCGTACACGTCACTGTGCGAGCGGCGCGGAGTCACGCTGGGTACCGGCCGGCCCGCGGGAGCAGCCGTGGTACGCCCGAGGGGGAGTCCGTGGGAGCAGCAGTGGCCGACGCAAGGGGGAGAGGGCGAGAGCCGAGAGAGGAGAGAGGGCTGTGGGCGTACTAGGGGCGCCTTTGGACAGTACCTGGCAGCGGTGATATGGCGGCCTCCGGAGGCGTCCTTCCTCGCTCCCCTCGATAGCAAAATCGGCAGACGAAACTTTCACAACTTTGAACCACGAGTGACGGGCACCACTCCACCGGTCCAAGCTCGCATCGACACCACCGGCCACCGGCACCAATCTAGTGGTGAAACACCACACACCTGCACCACAGCTCACCTACGATCCCCTCTTGGCACCACGCTCGACTCGTTTGCGCGGCCTCAAGACGCCGGCCGACGACGCCTGCCGCCAGCGCCCCTAGCGGCAGCCGGTGAAAGCAGGCGCGGCTGTCGACTGGACAGGCCCGCTGTGAAGACAGCAGCGGCAGCGGCGGGCCCGGCGGCCGGTGTCAGTAACCTTGACTGGTTCAAATGAGCGCGGCCGGCGCGAGTCGTGCCGTGCGTGGGATCAGGTAGCCGGCGTCCCGTCCCGGCCGGTCGGACTGGGGTCGGTCGGTCGGTCGGACCGCACCCCTGTCTTTACAGTCGATGATTCATCGGTCAGCCTGCGGTAGGCTGACCGCCAACGCCCATGGCTGCTGTTCAGCAATCGCGCTTTCTTGCCAGACGTTTGGTCGACACCAACAGGCACTAGATGAAAACGATGTGATTATCGTCTTTTTGATATATCTACATTTTCCCGTGATTTTAAGTGATGGGCTGGGTTCGAGTCGCTCCGGCGCTCGATATCAGACTTCTGGCGGGGACGGTCTGCGGTTGATGGGGGGGGGGGGGGCAGCTGCGGCCAGCTGCTGTTAGTGAGTGCTTGGCTTTGTGGGTACACTTATTATTGGCATCTGAATTTCCTGGCTTCCATAATTTATGGATCGGCCAGGAATCCGCGGGGCAGCTCTGCCCTACAAGCGCAGCTCAGCACGACTACAGCATCGCCAGTCCGTCCATTCAAACGTCCGAACTAAATTTATGTCAACAACGCAAGCTCGAACCAAGAAAACATCTTGTATCTTATGTCTTATGTGTGGTAATCTAAACAACGCCAAGTGACTGCTATGGATTCAGGCTCTTAAGTAGCATATGGAGCATGGATCATTTCGTGTTTCGGTTAGATTATAGACTAACGACACCAAAGCGCGGGTTAATTAGACCTCATGAACTTAACCCGCGCCCTCGTCGGAGTCTCGGCAAACTTCGCCGTGGTGATGGGAAATGGCCACAACAATTACCTCAGAAATTTAGGAAGACGCGACAAAACGTTCGATGACTCATGCCGAGTACTTTCGAAAGTATCGACGTCAAATGCTCGCTCAGGTCAATACCGAAGTCAATGTAGACCGTCTAATCAACATTCACGGCTTAGCAATGGTAGCCAACAATGTTCGATGCCGTTGTTCGTGAAAAAAAACTACAAAAGTGCAGAAAGGAAACCGATCGATCATTGCTCATTCAGGATAATGCCGAAAGAGCTGACTTCAGGTTGATAACTTTGTATACAGACGGCAAATAAGAAAAAATATTGACCTGGTGACCTGAACTGAGGGCTGAAGTGACCTTGAGCCAAAATGTTATCAATGAATACGGGGTTTGTCTTTTAACCCGCGCCCGGCTGAGGCTCCTGGATTTCCACGCCCACCGGGGGGGGGGGGGGGAGTGAGTGTTTAAACCCAAACCCCACTCCTGTGCAGCATATGTCATGATTATCCATTGAGGGGAAATCACCCAGCCCAACCATATCTGACCCAACCCAGTCTTTATTAGGCATTAAGTAGGTGTAGGGTTGAGTTAGGTCAGGTTAGGTGGGGCTTAGTTGTGTTAGATCCAGTAATTTCAGTATTACCAAAAAAAACCTACTTAACAACTAAATCAGTTTTAACACCTAATATCTACAGAGGTACTTTACTAGGGGATGACTTTCAATGAGAGACTGCTACTGCCACTGACTGCTACTGCAAGATCACCAGTCCTCTCAATAGCCAATAGTCAATAGTGATAACAAGTTATTGGTACCTGTTGAAACCCCCCCTCCCAAAAAAACTCACCAATTAGATGCTGAAAGTGCAAGGAAGCTGATAGCATGCTGATCCAAAATAGCAAATGAACAGTAGGTACATTGAAGTTATGACTTTTATGTTTTTATGTCTAACATTCATCCCAATCCAAGATTTGTTTATTGTTCTAAGCGGTCAAATAATAAGGGAGCTAGAATATCATGATCAAAGACCAGTGAAGCAGCAAATTTCTTTCAAACGATACTCACAATATTAATGATGCAGAGAGGATAAAATCAAAAAGAAATATGACAATACATAGGACAAGCACCCTACACAAGCTGGCATTATGATTAGTAGCGGTGCAAACTGTTGGGCATCAGTAAAGCTGGCATCACCATTGGCAGTAGGCATAAGCAAACTCCAGTTTGAACTGTTGTTTATGTAAAACAAAGATAATTGAAAATAGAGGAGAATATTTCGAAATGGGATTCAAGATACCAGGTTACTAATTACCTGAAAAAAAAACAATTTTCAAACAAACAATGTAAAAAATATGGACTCCAAGCTCAAACTAAGGAGAAATCACATCTCAATCTCGATCTATAGGTACTGTTGAGACAAACCAGATAGCAGGTACGTGGTAATTTTTATGTATTTGCTCAGTTTGAAGAAGCCACAGCGCAGAGGAACTAATACTGGAAGCTGGCCCACAGGTCAGCTGGATGATTCATCTGCTGTACAGGATGAGAGTGCAGGCAGAAATCAGTGAAGCAGCAGGACATCCTTAAGCCCATCCTTCTATGACCATCCCTCGATTTTCTGGCTCCTGTGACGTAGTGTTAAAGTGTGACTGATGAAAGGCTAAGCATTGCATCCACTGGATGGAGCCGACCACACAAGAAGAAGCTAATCAGTTTGAAGAGTTGAAGTAACGAAAACATTCAGTTGCCAAACAATTCAAATTGCTATTTTCTCGATCATATACCAATAAAATCCGACAAAGCCACTTACCATCCGCGTAAAGTTGGCGGCGTCACATTTGAAGTGAATGTCGCTATTGCGTCTTATTTGTAGCTTCTGTATAGCTGAAGGATTTTCTTTAAAAATAAAAATATTTTGTGCTGAATGTTCTGTCAGATAGCTTTGAACCTTAAATAGAAAATTTGATTCAAGAAAAAAACGTAGCATTTAAGATTTAAAAATATCATTTTGATAGTCTATCAAAAAATGATTTTTTAAACGATCTTCTAAAAGCTTTTTCTTCAAAAAGTAGAAGAAATTCTTGATGTGGTAGCTGAAATTAGGCATGCTTATATGGCAGCCTTCACTTGTTTTGATGCTGTGGGTGTCATTCTTCACTTGCTTCACGATAGATAGGTATAAACGTTATTTGCTTGTGTTTTTGTTTGTGATTCTGAAAGTTTGGGGTTTGTCATTTGTTTACCAACAATTTCAAATTGTCATCATCATCAACATATGTCTAATGAAGTTTAAACACCTTTGAAAGGTCAATAACAGTAGGCGGAACTATGGTCAAGCGTACCCATTTTCGGGAACGCATTTTCGTTCCCATGTTTGGGAACGATAAACCCAAATATGGGAACGCCATGTAGGCATTATTTAAAACAAGAAAAAGAACTGTTAAATGACGTCCAAAAAATATAAAACGATCGTGAACCGCCTGATAGTTGTCTCAATATTGTTGGGAAAGAGTTTGATATTGTAAGGCCCATCGTAGTTTCAAATCGTTCCCCTATTTCTAAAGCAGTCCATCACCCGGGCCGCGAGCCCAAATTTGGGAACGCTCTCGTACACTGGCGCTGCAAGCGTTCCTTATTATGGGAACGGCGTACCCAAAATTGGGAACGATTTCACCGACGCCTTTCAGGGGCTCTTTTCATTAACAAGCATCACGTCCAACGCCGCAAATTATTGTTAACGCAACAATCATCAGATGACCTTTCCGGCAAGACCGTTGCATGTTTCGCCCGGTCTTCTGCGCTTTTATTCCCGTCGATCTCGCAGCGGGCACGCCCCCCTCTGCAGGATTACGTAATCCACAACGCTCAGCGATGTTCAACAAGGTCTTCCATACCTATATCCACCGTCCGCGCCGAGGGTGGAGACATGTCAAGCACCTGTCTGCTAATCACCGAGAGTTGACGAGCACAAGAAGTATCCAAAAATGGGAACGCTGAATATGTTACACCCTCAAAACACCTAGTCCCAATGAAAATCTAGTTTTTTCCTTTCTTAATGAGTGTAAGTGGCAAAAGGCCTGGTAGGATGGGCACGAGGTATGATCGAAATCAGCATAAAAATTATAAATAAGCCACACAGAGCGACCTATATCAGAGAAATTCCCCCCAAACGATCATGCTTAGAAACGCCGAAGACAAAAACCACGCTCATGACGCTGCTTATAAAACAACGCTAAACAGCTAGCATCCAAATAAAATATGTCTTTCAGGGCTGATAAAATACAGCTGAATGATTTTAAACCACTGAAACTGAGTTTACAACAGTAGTTCGGTAAAATCACTGACGTTCCACGCGGTCGATCGCCCCGACACCAAAAGTCAACAATATTACCTCGGGACTGCCCGCGTGTTCGCTTGCATATGTCAGCATCTGGTGTCGCTAGAATGAAACTTCATAACCAGGCGAAAATTATTATACTTGACCTCAAAATGTAAAAAATGCTTCATTTTCCTTAAAATTGCATGTTAAATGTCGTATAACCCATATTTCCACCATTCTGTCATTTTTAAAAAATCATTAAAAATATCATTCCACGGTCAATTTCCTTGTTCCACGGTCAGATTAAAGATAACTTTATGGAGATTTAGTAGATACTTAAATCAGCGTGCACTTTTTTGAGACGTGATGCACTTTTGAGTTTTAGTGGGCGAACGGCCGAAAAATTGCCTTCCGTTCTCATAAATGGGAACGCCCGTTCCCATATTTGGGAACTCCGTTCCCAAAAATGGGAACGTTCCTATATTTGGGTACTCATGACCATAGCTCCGCCTACTGATAATGGATAAAAATTGAATCTTTAGGCCAGATGTGCCAGAGTTGCGTTTCATGATTGCATTGCATTGCATGATTTGTATTTCGATTTTCTGTAACTTCGACCTTATATTTCAAAACCTTGCATGTAAAAATGGGTGGAATCTGCAAACTGCAAACATGGCCCCTGAGGCGATTTAATCAAGGATCTTGAAATTTGCTTGACCTGATCACGTTAGCCTGTTAAAGGCACCCAGAAGGGGAGAATATCCCAATAATTGTTTATCTTTTCAGATTCCATGCCCTGTTTTCAGATTCCACCTAAAAATGGATCCTGATCCATACCTACAGAACTTTGCAAATCTACCATCTTAAGCACAAATACCTTTATTAAATCATTAAACTGCAACCTGCTACTCAACCCTTTATCTAACTTAGTTCAAGTTGTCCCACAAAAGTATAGTTGGGTATTGTTGCAATAGCCAAATCCTGAACTTTAATGAATCACTTTATTCACTTGGGTGTAGATTGCATTTTGCTCTGGGGTGCAGGTTTTGGTAGTGCTGGCTTACACCATATCCATTGGCACCATGGTTCAATATTATATTTATTCTGGTGCTTTAGTGAGGCAGCACATATGTTGGTCTGAAATTTGCAGAATTTGATTTTGTACTGTCATACCTGGTACCTACCTCTGATAAGTGTTCATCCTGCTCTGTCATGATTCTCCTGCAGATTGGGACTAAACCTGGTTATATAGCTGTAGGAACTGTGTGTTTGTGTTTACAAGTGTTTGTGAAAGGTACATGGAGACATAAGCCAGTTATATTTTTAAATGTTCTTTTAGCAAATATGTAGTTTGCCAAAACCCCAAAACCCAACATGAATACCAACTCAAGAACATCATACAGTGGCTGTGGCATAAGAATAACTAGCAACTTCTTCACCAAATTTTGCTGATATTATGATGATTAAGCAATGAAAGCATAACCCTGAGTCACTTTTTGACCATAGTCTTAGTGTAACATTACCATGGTTTTCATCCAGTCAGCAGTAGGTATTTATATGATTACAGTCCAAAGTTTTATATTATATTAAAATAACCAGTAAACCAAAATTCAAAATCTGTAGAAGCTCAGACAAGCTTCTAAATTTTTTATTGACTAGTGGGCACTAGGCTTTGATCATTTGATGTTAACAGTCAGGTATCAATAACTATGGAATCATTGGATAAAGTGTGAATATTAGTATTACAGCTCATGTTATGAAAACTTGATGACTTTGCAACACCTTCTTTAGAATATCTTGAACCCATGATTTTCTGGCTACTGTGATGGTCATCCCTGCTCATATCAGAACAATGAGTACATTTCATGTATGGGTTTTATAACAAGGTCTCCTTTCCAGAGTTGCTACCAGCCACGATGGCTGCCTCTGTGGGCTGTTTGAGGTCGGCCGGGCTCCGGCTGGCGTCGCTCAGTCGTCCCATGTCGACAGCGGCGGCCGGCAGTGACGGGCGCCGGGTCCGTATCGGTTGCGCCAGTGGCTTCTGGGGTGACACCTCCGTGTCGGCGCCGCAGCTGATCCGCCACGGCCAGCTCGACTTCCTCGTGTTCGACTACCTCTCTGAGATCACCATGTCACTGCTGACAGCGGTGCGCGCGCGTCAGCCCGAGCTCGGCTACGCGCCCGACTTCATCGAGGCCGGTGTCGGCGGCCAGCTGGCGCAGCTGAAGCAGCGTGGTATCCGAGTGGTCAGTAACGCGGGCGGCATCAACCCGCAGGCGTGCGCGGCGCGGCTGCGCGAGCTGGCCGCTAAACAGGGCGTGGAGTTGAAGATCGCCGTGGTGAGCGGAGACGACCTCTCCAAGAGAGACCTGAGCGGACTGACGGAGATGTTCACCGGCCAGCCGCTGCCGCAGAGGCTGAACAGTGTGCACGCGTACCTGGGCGCCGGCGCGATCCGCGCGGCGCTCGACGCCGGGGCGGAGCTGGTGGTGACGGGCCGGTGTGCGGACAGCGCGCTGGCGCTCGGACCGCTGGCGCACGCGTTCGACTGGCGCTGGGACGACTGGGACCGACTGGCGGCCGGCAGTCTGGCCGGTCACCTGCTCGAGTGTGGAGCTCAGAGCACCGGCGGAATCAGCACCGACTGGCGCCGCGTGCCCGACTGGCATCGTATCGGCTTCCCGATTGCCGACTGCGGCGCCGACGGCGATTTGGTGCTGACCAAGCCACCGGGCACGGGTGGCCTGGTGTCGGTCGGTACTGTGGCCGAGCAGCTGGTGTACGAGCTTGGTGACCCGCGCCGCTACCTGCTGCCTGACGTGGCGTGCGATTTCAGCCGGGTGCAGCTGGCGGCCGCCTCTGACGGTGTGGCAGTGAGCGGCGCGCGCGGCCGACCGCCCACCGACTCCTACAAGGTGTGTAGCACACACCTCGACGGCTACAGCGCCACGGCCGTCTGCCCCGTGATCGGCCCGGCGGCGGCAGAGAAGGCGCACCGCACCGCCGAGGCCATTCTAGCGCGCTGCCGGGACATCTTCGCCGAGCTGAAACTGACCGACTTCAGTCGGACGCACGTGCAGGTGCTGGGGGCTGAGGAGACGTACCCAGACGGGCCGGCGCCGCCGCGGCGAGAGGCCGTGCTCTGGCTAGCTGTCAGCCACACGGACAAGCGCGCTCTACAGGTGTTTGGCCGCGAGGTGGCGCCGGCCGGCACGGGAATGGCTCCAGGCCTGACGGGGCTCGTCGGCGGCCGGCCCAAACCGACGCCCGTGCTGCGGCTCGTGTCATTCCTCGTCCCTAAACGTGATGTGGACGTTTCGGTGGACGTGGATGGCGTCGACGTACCGTTCACGGTGGCTGAGACCGCTGCAGACGCGTCTACCCCTACCGATGGGCCTGCCGAGGCTCCCCCCGCCGCTACCGAGCCGCCGGGAGCGTTCACCTACCGTCTGGAGCGCTTGGCCCTCACTCGCAGCGGCGACAAGGGTGACTCGTGTAACATCGGAGTGGTGGCGCGCAGCCCGGCCCTCTACCCGCACCTCTGTCGAGAGCTGACCGCAGAGCGGGTGGCCGCCTACTTCACCCGCCTGCTGCCCGCCGGGGTCGACCCGACCTCGCTGGTGGACCGGTACGAGCTCCCCGGGGTGCACGCGCTCAACTTTGTGCTACGCCAGTCACTGGGAGGCGGAGGGATTGCCTCACTGCGGCCTGACCCGCAGGGGAAGGGGTACGGACAGATGTTGCTCGATATGAAACTGTCCGGAATGCCAGAGGTACCTGAGCTGGACAGAGAAGCGGAGAAATGAGGGAGAGTGGTGGGAGCGGGACAATGATTAATGGGTGGGCTTGGCGTTTGGAAATGTGCCTGCGGGAGTTTGTCGGAGACAGCTGTGGAAATGATATATTTGTGATATAGGTGATGTGCGCGTAATGTCTGTCTACCAAGGCGTTGGAGCCTGCTTTTTCATGCGTACCAGACATTTGTTAGCAAAGTGATGTTGTGTAAGCTCTGTTAAGTAATTTGTCGATATATTTCTGGTCGGACGTCTCCATAGCCCGTAAAACGTCAATGCGATGCTGTGTTAGGTGCAAAGTGAATTACGATTTACGACTCTGTATCGACTATTGAGGTAAAGTAGATGAGTCATGGTTGTTCAGGTGTTTACCAGTGTGCAGTAGAGTAATGTCATATTTAAATGCCTTCAGCTGTCTGGTTTACCGCAGCTTCGAACCTATCAATGCAATGATAATGTGATTGCTAGTTTGGTATATCTTTCAGAATGCCGAATATACTTTGTACTCCCTTGTAATGCTTTATTTGGCATTGGATATGGTTTACATCGATATGTTACTTGGTGTGGGTGTATCAGTCATATTTCACGTGGGTGGTGTATTTTTCACATGATTCTGAAAAGAAAAGAAAATAGACTCATTAGGAACGCCAGTAAAAAAACACATGGTTGACACCATACATGGTATGATTTAAGTGAGCGTCTTCATTCATAAGTGGGCTACGATAAATATGTATTTGCCGAGCGTGAAGGGTTGTGTGAGGAAACCATCTGATGTAGCCGATACTGTAGGTAGGACAGCCTCGCGAGGAGCCGTGTAGCACCACCTGGTCCGGTCCGCGAAGGCTCCTGTCCCGTCCATGTCCGAGTTCCGGGAGGGTGTCGGCCTGCCGCCGCTGCGCCTCTCGGAGCGCGGCCGGCAGACGGTGGCCTTCCTGTCGGCGCTGCTGGGTCTGACCGCCGGCCAGCTGGGTCTGCTGGCCGCTCTGACGCCACTGGCGGAGCTGGAGCCGGCGCTGCGGCTCGGCGGGGCGCCGGCGATAGATCACGAGCCACTGCTGAGGTACTGGCCGGACGGCAGCACCGTGTCGTTCGCCGGCGGCGCCACCGTCCTGCCGATGCAGAGCGCTGCACACGAGGTGGCCGCCATCGGCGCGGCCGCCACAGCCGCCAGCGCGCTCGGCGTGATATTCGCCGTGCTGTCGCGCTCCCACGAGCGCGCCCGCCGGCGCCGCGCCCTGCTCGCCGGCTACCTGTACGTGCTGGCGGAGCTGGCCGCCGCCGGCCTGGTGGCCGCCAGGGCTGCCCGCGGGCCCCAGCTTGCCGGCGGACCCGACCTAGAGCGTCAGTACCACACGGCATTCGCCAACGCCATGTGGGACTACCTGTACGATCCGCAACTGAAGGTGTATCTCGACACGGTGCAGCAAGAGCTGAGCTGCTGCGGCGCCGGCGGGTTCACCGACTGGTTCCTGACAGACTGGTTGCGGCCGGGCGTCTACAAGGAGCGCTATTACATGAACCTACTCGGACGTCTGATGGTTGGCCTTAAACCCAATGAGTCCTACTACTCACTAGCCAAGTACGGCTCTATCGAAGCTCAGAACGCACTCGTCCCGCAGCTCGGAAACTCGGAGCTCACAGCGCCAAAAGAGAACGAGCTCTTCTTCAATGAAGTGCCCTTCAGCTGCTGTGACCCCGAGTCGCCCATCTACTGCCGGCAGCAGTTCGCTAACCGGGTCATGTTTGCGTACGACCCAGCCAACAACCTGACCGTGTTTGACCGCGGCTGCGCGAGCGCCGTGGCAGAGGCGGTAGCCAGCGATGCCAGCTCGACGGTGGCGCCGCTCTGGTGGCTGTTTGGTGTGAAACTGGCGGCGCTGATGGCGTACCGGCTGGTGCAGACGTCCCAGGCGTGCGCGCTGAGCGCGGGCCGCCATCTCTCCCCGGCCAGGGGCTGGGTGATACTTCTGTGGCCGAGCCGCGGTGGAGGCGGTCCGTCCGAGACCGACCCAGAGCGTCAGCCGCTGGTGGAGGGTGGGGAGAGCACTGAGGGAACGGGAGAGAGTACTGAGGGCACAGGAGACACGGAAACCACCGGGGAGAGCGAAGGAACGGCGGAGGGAGAGGCAGAGGACGGAGGGACAGAGGACACGGAGGAGGCTGACAACATCCCGCCGCCGCCGCCCATGGACGACTGATGAAGTGGACTGGAGCACCTGTCCGTTCCCCAAGGACTGGTACTGGACTGGAACATAATATGTCTGCTGCTCATGGGCTGTTGTTGACTGGAACACCCGGCCAGTCACCTGCCTTAAATTGCTACTGAAGGGAATACATGTCCCTCCGCCCATGGACTGCCCACTGATGAGGACTGGAACAGCCAGTGTCACCGGCCAGTTTTGGACTGAAACTGGACTGAAACAGATGCTGTTCGCCGAATGGTACTAAACTGGGGCACATGTTCTATCCCCAGACCCGTGAACTTAGGATGGAAGGGCAGGCCCCGAATGAAACAGAAAGGGAATGAAAATGTGAAAATATTGCTGTCGTAGGCGGTCGATGAATGTCTACAGCACGCCTGTATTGTGAATTTGTCCTCAAGTTTTTGGTTCGTTGTTCATTCCACAGTGCACGCGTCAGTAGATCATTTATGACAAAATTTGTCCGACGCGAGATCATGTCCGTCAGCTTGTACTGTCCCATATGTGATTGGCAGATACATGTGTGACGCGTTATGTTACGCGATGTAAAACCACGCCGGTCTACTGAACGGACAAAAACGTTCAAAAATGTTGCAAAGCGCACTCTTGTATTTCCGTTGGGCGCCAACACTGTCAGTTGAAAATGTAATGCATTGTTATAAACGGCGTTCCGCCTCATAATACGGACAATCAGTGTGGCGTGACTCCTGAGGTAGACGAGAAAGCCCAGCAGCATCACGCTACAGTACAGCGCCGGACTTCCAGCCCGGCTCCGTAAACCGCGCAGGGTCTGCAATGACGTCTGCTTTTTATGTCAGAACACTGGCCTGAACAGAAACCACGAGCGGATACGACTCCGATCATACCTCAAAAGGCGACACAAAATATCACTGCCAACTGATTGGTATCCAGTTACACAGACTCAAATATTAATACACTGAGTACACACATCCAAGTCCAATAAAGTATAACTGACTTATGATATTTCTTCATTCATACCGATCACAGCAATCTGGTCCGTACCGTCAACTGGCCAACACCTGTCATTGTCCGTCAACTGACAAAACACCTCTTGTCGGTGTAACACAGCTCACAATCACCCGCTGGTAGTGTTCCTCAGCTGACAAACACCTGCTGCCGGTGTAACTTAGCTAACAAACACCTCCTATATCGGTGTCCCTCAGCTGCTCATAAAACACCAGCTGTTGGTGTATCTTAGCTGACAAACACTCTCTGTCGGTGTAACTCAGCTGACATACACCTCCTGTCGGTGCATTAGCCTCATGTGCTGCTCCAAAGAGCGCTGAAGGCCGAACTTCTTTCCGCAGGTGGCGCACTTGAGCCGGTGCGACTGGTGACTTACCGCGTGGGCCTCCATGGCGAACTTGTGGGTGAACGTCATGCCTGGAGGTCACATGGAGAGGAACACACGTCAGACGTGTGTATACCGGTAGCGACGAGTTTTTCCTTCGTACAAACAATTTTTAGTTGAAATTCAAAGCCACAAGGAAATTATTTATAGGGCTATTCTACAAGATGGCTATTTTTCAACAGTGACAAAAGTGGATCATTTCATCCGTCATCGCACATAAAATATTTAGAAATACTCCGTAAGGAGTGGAGCTATACACGATCACCCAATGACCGTCATGGTATGGCGCCCCTATCCAGTCTGACGTACCGCAGTGAGCGCAGGTGTGCGGTTTCAGGCCGGTGTGTCGGAGTTTGTGCCGGCGCAGAATGCAGAGCGTTTTGAAGGTGCGCCGGCAGACATCACAGCTGAACGGCCGCTCGTCGCTGTGCTTGTAGATAGAGTGCAGTTGTAGGTCGTGCAGGGCGACGAACCTGGGTACGGGGGAGACGGGAGGGCCGGGTTACTTTGTTGGCAAGCTGGGGAGGCAAACCATCACGAAATATTATATAGGACACTGCAGTAAGAAAAAAAAAACTAGACAGAAATCCAGTCAGTACACACCGTCACGTACAAAGGTTACAAGAAAACAGCTGGTCCGAATAAATTTATCATTAGATACTACTACAAAACTAATAAATGAATATTCAGACGCAGGCCATACCAAACATCTCCAAAAAGTCCAGACAATGTCCAACTTTCTTCTGGCAGCCTCCTCACAAGTCACCCAACTCTCGCCGCCGCGTCATTCCCGTAGTTCACCCACCTGCGCGGGCAGAGCGGGCAGACATGCCTCCTCTCCTCGTGCTGTTTGACGTGCTGCTTGAGACCGGCTTTGGTGGCAAACCGTTTGTCGCAGTGGCCACAGGGCATCAGCTGGTCGGCGTGCGCCTCATTCATGTGTCGGCTGAGCTCCTTCGTGGTGGCGCAGCGCTCGGCGCAGAAGACGCATTGGAAGCGCAGCAGCGGGTGGGTGCTGCGGTGACCTGTCAAAGGTCACAGAGGAGTCAGTGGAGGCGCTGAGTATAGTGGGATAATACCGGCGCTCCGGAAGCGAATAGTCGCCTGGCGCAGTCTGGTAAAGCACGCAACAATTCACAAGACCTCACAACAACTATGCATATCACTTTCGACATCAAAAACTAGGTCTTAACACAAGACCCGCTCAGATAAACAACAGTATCATCCACCACGTCCAACACACACTACGTACTAGCCAGCATTTCGGTGGATGTGAATGGTGCGTCACAGACGTCGCAGAAGAACACACTCGGCGGTTGAACGGGCGGCTGTGGCGGTGGTGGCAGCGGTGGCGGCGGCGGGGGGTGACTGGAAACTGCTGGTGGTCGGTTGGACACCTCTGGCGGTCGGCTGGTGGCTGACGGAACTGGTCTGGCCACCTGGCGATATAGGAAACAGCACAGTCAAACAGGACGCTGTAGTGCGTGTGAAAAGATCAATAGGTCATGCAATAGGACGAATAATCTATCCAATATCCGTTAAGCACTTATGATAGCGGAAAGAACGCAGCAAAACATGTAACAGTGCAGACATTGACAGACAATTAAAAAGTCGTTGAATAACCTTGGAAATCGATTGGATATTCGCATTATTTGCCGAACATGACTAACTCATTGACCATTGTGCCGTTGTAAAATTCACAGTTTTTAAATCAGCTTTGCATCCAAAACGATTCCATCATAGCTCAAAAACGTTTGTCGCTAATAAATCGCTAATAAATCGCTACTCGCTAATAAATCAAATTTTGGTGAAACCCGCGTAGAGCGAGACGGATACGCACCGGTGGCTCGGCGGGCACCAGATCGTCCAGCAGACCGACCACGGGCGTCTCCTCCTCCTAAAACAGAACACATGACAGTCAGTCAGTGCGACGGATCAGCAGCGTCAGTGGATGGACCACAGTGGACGAAACCACTGATGGTCAGTCGACGACATCACAAAGAGATAGTCGAAGCGAAAGATGCTTCCGGCGTTTGCAATCCGGTAAGAAAAAAGATAACGTCACCCGATTTTACCCCTCCGGTGACAAATATCCGTCAATTCACACAGAATATCGCTGTTTCCTCCGGACAACTGTTCTACTTGCCTCCCTGCTGGAGCTGGGTGACATCGCAGGGACTGACCTTGAATATGATGATCTGCTGGTCTGAGTCCCCGTCCCATATGACTGCCGGAGAGCTGGGGCCCGGCGGTCGGCCCGCGTCTGAACGAAAAGAGAGGACACTGGTCATACCACCGTGCGCGCGCATCCACACACATACAAACAGACAACGCCAGGAGCTCGTGCCCGGCGGTTGGGCGGCGTTTGACAAAAGGAGGGAGGAGGGATTAATCACACTGCTGCACACATAGGTGGACAGTAGTGGCTGGTAGGGCATCAGTCCATCCCGTAAGAATATTGGTCAAAACATCGGACACTCGGTAATTAGATACCCCGGGTTCAATCCTATTCCGGTGCTCGTCATTAGATTTTCGACGTGGATAGTCTGCGGTACTGGTGGGAACTGACATACTGACACATAAAACTGACACCCGTGCAGTTGGAGTGCGCTAAAATCATTGATAGCGTACCTCCTGGCCCCGAGTCACCCTCCCAACCAGTCTGTAATAGACACACTGTCTGCCAGAATAAGAAGACTATCGACAGTGCAACATACCGGAGTCGGCGTCCGGCTGGCTGTAGGTCACGGTGACCAATCCGGTGTCGTCTGCCGACACAATGACGTCATCGGGCCCCGGCTCGAGCTCGGCATTGGCCGCGCTGCCCATCTGTGGCTCGCCGATTGGCTGGTCGTCGAACGGAGGCGGAGCAACGTCGTTCTTATCCTCCAACACGATGGGAAATGGCAGCTTGAATTTGAGTCGCACCTTGGCAAAAAAAAAAAAACAGATAAAGAAGAGGTGGAATTATGTGATTATGATGATCTTAGAATGGTGATTGTTGAAATATAATACAGCCTATTTGTAAGCGCAGGCTGTAGGACTGCACTATCTTCCACAGCAACTGATGCAGGTCATAGAAAGAAGAAAATTTATTTACCAAAGCATTGCAAACAAAGGATGGCATGTAGCATTTCATACGATTTACATTGTTTGCGCTACCTCACCTCATTCTCATAAGCCAGTAGTTTGCTTTCATGTTCATCCACAAGATCCAGAAGAGAGTGGCATGTTCCACAAACTTCTGCTGGAGGAACCTGCCAGAAACAAATGAAGCTCAAACTGTATTACAGAGACAAATATGGTATTGGTATTTATCAGTGATCACCAGTCTGTCTACTTTTCATTTCATCTCCAGCCTAAATAGAAAATGAACCATTGAGGCAATTTCCTCCTTTTGCACCCTTTCAAAACTGAATAAATTCATAGAACAAAAGCATGTATAGAAAGAAAACATCCTTCTAAGGTTATAAAGTCTAAACATCAATATTTATGAGACTTTTTAAACAATACATTCATAAGTCACACCCAACCACATGCTGTCAGCCGTCAGGTTAGATTAAGCTATGTTAAGTAAGGTTAGGCCAGGTTAGATTAGGTTTTGTTATTTCTGTTTGTAGTGGTGTACCTGATTTGTAGCATTATATGATTGCATGAACAGAGTTCTAGGATTATATGGTTTGTTACCTACAGGCTACAGCATGGTGTGGTTTTTATTCAAGTTTGAGCTCAGGACGCAAAAGAGATTTCACCACCATTGAAGCAAGTGCTTTCATTCTTTTATTCAACTATTCAAGTGCTTTCTGGAGCTTTCCTCATGAACACTGAGACTTGCTTGCACGAGAAAACGCAACTGACAATCAACCACTTCAACTCGATGGGCAGATGTCTGCTGCTGCACCATCACTTCAATGTGCTGTTGCATCCTTGTTACAGTGGTAACAGCATCAACAACGGACTCACATATTCATATGGCCAGGGGCCCAGGGATTATAAACTTACCAGATGTGTCTCCAGTCTTTTGCGAACTATTTTTGAGAGCTTTGTTATCAAAGGGGTTTTTGTATACATAGTTTTCTCTTGATACAAGCTTTTCGAGTTGATCAGGTGGTTTTTGCAGATCAAGCAGGGTACAACTTGAAGGCCCTCCATCCTCTGAAACTTATGAAAAAACTGAAACATGCACCCTAGCATTTTATAAGTTTTATTTGAAAAACATACCGACAGATGCAGAATGAAATGCCTGTTCCAGTTCCTAGCACAACACAAACAAAAGCCCCGTTTACATAGGAATTGTTGCAAGTTTGTAGCTCAGCTCCGCCCATTATGTTGCAAAATATGCCAATGGTACTTTAAAATTTACAAAAAATATCCCTTCTAAACATGCAAAGATCAATGCATCGGAATTATCGCAAAATAAATCAAAATGAACTAAAGCCTCGTCAAAAATGTTATGTAAACGAGACAAATTTACCACAGTATATCATGTCGATGTGCTGCCAACCAATAAGAATAACAAACGGGAGTAATACTAACACACTCCTGCGATGTTGTTCTATATACCCTGCCAGCAATAATCACGATAAATAAATAACAGTCGCCTCCTCTATAAATTTTACTACCTTCGCGCCACCAGTCTACTACAACTACTTTGTTTACAATTAGAAACAGCTACAAAACCTGCGCAGTAACTACAATAAGGGAAATCCTTCATTTGAAATAGCTCTATAGCATAATTTTTCCCTTATTTTTGTTTGAAAAAATGATAAATGAAATAAGATGCTTTGAAGTTATTACTCTCCCTGAAGAAATGAAGAAACGGAATCATCGTTTCTTCTAAAAAAAAATCGGAAAAATTAATTCGTGAGAAAGTTTTATAGTTTCCTTCATACAGAGGCAGAAATATGGAAGCACTCGTTCCAAATTTGAAATAACTCGTCGGCAGTTTGAGAAGATTTCGGTCGGGGTGAGGACGATGCTCTGCTAGATATTTGACAATTTTGTTAATCGTGGTGAAGATGTGTTTCAATAAAGGGGCATAAAAGCTTTATGGTCGATTTGAGCGCTAATCTGCCTGGTGGCTTTAGTTAAACGAGAATATGACCGATTGCAACATCAGTGTTTCGGTCCGTGTCCGAGAGCTCATCAAACGCGAGTTGAACGATGACCTCAAGAAACATTGGAAAACAAGCGAAGATAAATCGTTGTTCCAGCTCGATCCTGGGACTGGTAATGCACTTTGTCAACCATATGTCTTCGACAAAGTATATAATGAAGCTGCAACAAATGCAGACGTTTATTCAGGTGAGTTGATTTTTTTTTTGCTTCAGCTAGCATAGGCTCATGCTCATGGACAAAGGTATGCTCATAGCTGTCACTCTTGCACTCTATTTGTTTTAACTTTTAGGTGCATTTCAGGTAGTATTGATTATTGTTTGAACTCACTCAAATGTTGAGGCTCGAGATGTCAAAACTCTGATTTGCCATCGTTTGTTTCAGGCACTGTTGAAGAGCTGGTCAACTCTGCAATGGCCGGCTTCAACACTACGATATTCGCCTACGGTCAAACATCATCTGGTAAGGAACTCACGGCGTTAGCGCCGACTGCCGTCCGGCAATCCCCGCCGCCTGCTGACGGAGTCTGGTGTATGATTTCACTCCCCCCCCTCCCCCACACTTCGTCAGACGTCGGGGACTCGGATTTCACCCTCCCAGCCCCACACCTCATCAGACGTCGGGGTGTTAGATTTCAGTCTCATAATTCTCCCCCCCCATCCCCCCAATCCCCACCGTCGCTGCTCGACGGTGGTCGGACTCGGATCCTGGCTCCGCCCCCTTTATCCCCCTCGACGGAGAAACTTATGCCCCAGCTTCCGCGGTACGGCCGGTTCTGTCGTATCGGGTCGGGCCCGTCAGGTCATATGTAAATTGTAATCGATCTGTGGTTACGACCGTCACTGCTCGTTTCAATCGTCTATAGCCTCTAACCAGGTAACTGACTCAGGTCGGCGCCGACCGCCACATTGATGACCGATCGACGGGACATACAAGACGCGGTTGGCTTGATGGTATTGCTGGATGCCGGATACGTCAGTTCGGTTCCCTCCCAACATACCGACGTGACACAGGCTGTCTCCATCTGCTGGTCCCTTCTGGCGCTCCCGACGGAGGAACGGACACTGACAGCGTCCTCCGGTGACGTTCTGTCTATTTCAGGCTGTCTGGGTGCATGGTGTGTCCGGCTATGGCATCTGTCGCTCGAAAAACAACAGCATGATCCTTCCATTCGGCACAGTTCGAAGAGACTGTACTCACTGGTTATATGTATTCATTTGCGATCTTACTTAGGAAGTTGTCAACTTTAGTGTTTTTACTTATTTTGTTTTCATTGATTCGTTGATAACGTATCTGATTTAATTGAGACATGTTGCGCATCTTGCAACGTTGCTTTCGTTCGGATATTCATTATGCAAAGGTTTCTAAAAAGTGAATGTGTTAAAGGATTGTGTATTTTTAGATATAATAACTCATTTTTATATAGATAGAGTGCGTGCATGATTACATGTGTGAGGCTGGTTCTGCGGTTCTTCCGGGGTAAAAATCGGTTTAGCGGTGGCCGTTGCTATGTCTGCTTGTTCTGATGAGTGTACTCGTTTTCAGCTTAACTCTCTAGACGGACTCGGACAGCAATGATGTGTTTTCGTTTTCCATCGCACCGCTGTCCTCTCCCTGGTAGTCCCACAGTAGCCAGATCGCCCCCTTGCCGTCAACTCAGTCGTTCCCAACCTGACTGTGTTCGGGCTGGCCGCTGCCGCAGGCAAAACGCACACCATGCTGGGCAACGACTCGGATCCGGGCACCATCCCGCGCGTGGTGCACCAGATGTTCGACTGTATCGAGCAGACGCCCGACCGCGAGTACCTGATCCGAGTCAGCTACATGGAAATCTACCGAGAGGTAAGTGACGTGCCCAGCGGGGGATGGGAGATTCCGGCCCGGCCCTGGTAGAACTCGGCTGCAACAAGTGCGGAAGATGGTAAAATGTGCATTGATGGCAATTTTCGAATTCAGCGAACAGGAAAGTAAAGAAGCAGTGTGCATTGTGCAATGCTTTCTGCTATCCCGTATGTCTAAATTTTAACCATGTGCTCGATTGATTTAGTCTCTTATTTAGGAGTCAGTTGTAGTTGATGGCGCATTGGTTATGTGTTACGAAGTTGTCTGCTCATCTAACGCTACGATCTAGTGAGCCGCTCGACAGAGCGCCGCCTGTGGCCACTACCGGCGGCGGGTGGTCTCAGGTATCCACAAACCGACAGGCGGCGCGTACACCAAACACACCGGCAGAACAGTCATATGCAGTGTCGTGGAACGTCTCATCGTCCCCTGATCGCTGCCTCCTCTGTCTTCTCAGGTGGTGGATGACCTGCTGTCTGAGGGACCGCGTACCTCCAAGGGACTCCGCATTCACGAGGATCCGCAGGGCCAGGTAAGATGCTGACTGCAGCAGCCTGCCGCTCCACTAGACTGTGGCGCCTGAGTGTAGGACCGGGGACAGATGGTATCACGTCAGCTGCCGCCAAACTCTGCATTTCTGTCCTTATTCACTGTATTTGTTACGAAATGTTAGCGCTTAGTGTTATATACGCTGTAAATTCGGCATATTTTGCCCAAAAAGATTATGTGACATTCAGCTGCAATATCGAGTGAACCAAAACAAAACATATTGCTGGGAAAGATCAAGCATTTGGGGGTCTCTGATCTATAATAGGCGAGAATATTCGATCCTGGCTCTATCACTAACTTTTTTATCTCAATTTGTAGTCGGTAACTGTCATTGCCACCGATGGGGCGCCGTCTCTTGGAGCGGGCTGCCCCTCAGTCCGCACCCCCTCACCTCCCCCGCCCCTCCCCACCCCCAGGTGTACGTATCCGACCTTCGTGAGCAGTGTGTCAACACGCCTGAGATGCTGCTCAGCCTGATGCGCCGCGGCGAGAACTTTCGCCACTTTGGCGTCACCAACATGAACGATCGCAGCTCGCGCAGTCACACCATCTTCCGCATCATCATCGAGTCGCGCGTGCGTGATGAGGACGGAGATGAGGACGCCGTGGTGGTGTCCCACCTGAACCTGGTCGACCTGGCCGGCTCGGAGCGCGCGCGGCAGACCGGAGCCACCGGAGACAGGTGAGGACGGGGGAGGTGGAACGGGTAGACTCAGACTGACTTATGTGTGTTGGTGGCAGACTGGTGAGTGGGGCTGATAGAACAGTCAATCTGTGTTATGTGACGTTTGTATCGACTTACGCGAAGTCTGCTCGTCTCTTTTGAAGCACTTAATGCCCGTACTGGGCGCAAAATGACCTTGTTGTCGGCGCGCCCTTAAGCCCCAATAAACAAATGACCTATGATTTATCTTTACCCTGACCTCCAGGTTCCGCGAGGGTTGTGCCATCAACTCGTCTCTGTTCGAGCTGGGGAACGTCATCAGCAAACTCAGCGAGGGCGCCCCCTTCATCAACTACCGCAACAGCAAGCTGACGCGCATCCTGCAGACGTCGCTCGGAGGCAATGCCAAGGTCAGGACAGGTCAAGGGTCCTGGTAGTCCTGGGTCAAAGGTCAAAACGGGTCACTATGTGGTAGGCCTTGGTTAGAGGTCAGGCCGGGTCAATGTGCTGCCGAGCTCTTGGTCGTAGGTCAGGCTTGGTCACTACGTGGGATCCTTGGTCTCCAGTTACAAGTCCGATAACGGACGTGTGATGCCATTAGTCAGAGGTCACAGGTCAGGTCACACTGGATCGCTCTTGGTCAGATGTCACAGCTTAGATTAAGTCACGTTGGGATACCAATTACTATCGATCGTGGGTGTGCGAATAAACGTGTTCTCGCCATGTGACATTAATTCAGTCCCATTTCGTGTTGCATTCGCCACACCGTCTGGAATCTCATAACCCCCCCCCCCCCCTGCTTCCCCCTATCCCCTCAGACGGCCATCATCTGCACTGTGACTCCGGCCGCCATCGAGGAGACCCACTCCACGCTGCGTTTCGCCAGCCGAGCCAAGACAATCAAGAACAAACCGCATATTAACGAGGTAAGCTGGTCGCTCTGACCAGACTTCTGCAGAACGAATAACAGAGTTGAATTGGGGAAGCTTTTCAAATTATCGGGGCAATGCTGTGACGGGAACGTGTGTCCCAGAGCAGCGAGCTGTGGTAATTTAATGGGCTGCGGATGCGTTTCTCCTTATGACCTATGTGTAAAGCTGCTGCTTCCTTTGCATCAATATTACCAGACATGGCTTGCTTCATTGGGTACTTATCATTTCGTAAGCTTCATAATGCCGTGATAATCAATGAAGTTGAATCATCCGGCTCATAGTCAAGTCATAGTCAAGATTTGGCTACTGTAATATTCGCACGCTATCTATTGGGTATCTCCGTGTGCGAGAGCTCGTCTCCGCCTATATGGTCGAGTCCCTGCCCCGCTGCTCTCTCCGAAGTCTCACCCCGTTCCCCACCCTGTCTGACCCCGCTCTGTCGTCCGCAGGTGATGTCCGACTCGGCTCACCTGAAGCGACTCAAGCGCGAGATCCACGGACTGCGGGCTGAACTGCAGCAGGCCAAACAGACCAACCGCGCCACGGAGGTGGAGGAGATGCAAATCGCCCTGGCGGAGGAGAGCAAGCGCAACACAGAGCTGCAGGAGCGGCTGCGACAGCTCACCGAGAAGTTGGTCGTCAGCTCGGCTCCCAGCGAGAAACCGCAGCTGCTGGCCGCGTGAGTGCGGGGCGGGGAGACATCGGTGGGCCTTGGTTCGTCGGCTGATGTTGTACACTGCATGTGCTGCTTACCGGGCACGGCGGTATTGTAATTAACATGACCTTCAGTGTGGCTAGTCAGCTGAATCTTGCAACGCATGTGTCCAATGTGCTAATGCATGAGTTTTTGTTTTTTGTTTGTTTGTTTTGTTTTGTTGGGTTAGGCCCTTTCGGTCTGACAAGACCATTGCAGAGCCGGAAGGATTATAGGAATTAGGGGGAGACATTGGTCTGGGCAGGCACCCTAGTGAGTCGCCGGGGCTGAGCTCGTCCAGAGGACAGGCTACCCAGCCCCAAGGCACTCACTGCACCCGGCTACGGGGTGCGCTCCCTCGGGAGCAGCGGTGCCGCTCCAAGGGAGCAGCCCGCATGAGATAAAGTTGCCTGTCCAGCCCGGAAGGGGGTTACGGCGTGGAGGAGAAGGACTTCAGTATCCTGAGGATAGAAGCACGGAACGGTGGTCTATGCTTTGTTTGTTTTGTTGGGTTAGGCCCTTTCGGTCGACAAGACCATTGCAGAGCCGGAAGGATAATAGGAATTAGGGGGAAACATTGGTCTGGGCAGGCACCCTAGTGAGTCGCCGGGGCTGAGCCCGTCCAGAGGACAGGCCACCCAGCCCCAAGGCACTCACTGCACCCGGCTACGGGGTGCGCTCCCTCAGGAGCAGCAGTGCCGCTCCAAGGGAGCAGCCCGCATGAGATAAAGTTGCCTGTCCAGCCCGGAGGGGGTCGCGGCTTGAAGGAGAAGGATTTCAGTATCCTGAGGATAGAAGCACGGATAGGTGTGGTCTATGCATGAGCATCGGGCATGTCTTACATAACCATTTTGATCATGCTTGATCGCGTGTCCTCGAGCTGAAAGCTTACATTATCGCGTGGTAGGTTGAAGGTGGTGCTTGTCTTGTGATCTTTACTCCCGGCGCTCCCCAGGTCCCAGAGGAAGAAGCGGCGGATGACGTGGTGCGGCTTACAGCGCAGCCGCCAGAGCCTGGCACCGTTCCAGCGGCCGCTGCTGCTGCCACCTGTGGCCGAGCGGTCGGACTCGCAGTTCGCCGAGCCGCCGCCAGACGTGAGTGGCGCGGGGAGACCGGCATCGCGAGCGCAAAACGCTCAGCTGTGATTATGGTTAAACTTTTATGGTATGAGTGAAAACCTCTCTTATTGTCCTCACTTTCACCATTCCTATCCTCCTGCTTTCCGACAGGAGGCGGCCGGCTCTGTGTTCGTCGCGGACGGGGCCGGGCCCGCGCCGCCGCCGGTCAGCCGCGTCACGTGTAGGAAGCGGCGCGCAACCAGTATGGACGCGGCGCCGCAGCACTCGCCACCCATCAGCGTGGACGCGGCGACGCAGACGGTGGAGCTGCCCCCGCCCCCTCCGCCGCCGCTGCCAATCGACCAGGTAAAGGGGAGAGGGAGAGATCACACAGACTGGTGCCCCCCCCCCCCCCCTCCCCCAGTAACGGAGAAAGGGTGAGAGACATGGACAGCGCCTCGAGCACACGGCACTTCATACTGTCGGATAGCTATGGTACCTAGTCTGGTACCTACCAGGTAGATGTGAAGGCGTTTGGAACACGTGATACGATGTTGTGTTCCGTACGGCTCGCTCCGAGTTAATTCCCAAATTGCTCACCCCGTTGATGCGTTGTGCAGCTGCTAGGTGAGCCGCCGGCCGGCGTGACCCAACGCACAAATGATCCGACCGTGTCCGTGTCACGATTTAGAAGTTGTGTCCACGGCCCGTGTTACGACTAACAGCCCGTGTCCGTTCTGTTCACAGGAGGGTCGTCACCGCAAGAGGCGTCGCGCCGGCCTCCACCTGGCTGGATCCGAGAACCGGCTAGCGCCGCTGGACGACATAGCAGAGGAGGGACAGACGGCTGCGGCAGGTGGGTGCGGTCACATCATATTAGCAAGGTTGCTCGCAACAGTAAATTTATTTAAAAAAAATATATCCAGCTGTCCAATTAGAGTCACCGCATCACTTTTTATGCATTTTTTCCTACCTCGTTTTCCAATGCGTTCTCAGTGATCCCTGCAGCAGCTGTCGTATTATCTTAATTGGCTGAGACTTCTCCCGCAGTGTCAGCAGCCGCGGCTCGGTTGCTGAGCGGAGGGTGCCGTCAGGCGATCCTGAGGCTCTTGTCTGGCCGTGTCTGTTCGATTGTCGCGCGAAGAGCGTTGCTGGATGTTTGACCCGGGCTTCATATTCTGACGGTGGTCTCTTCTCTCCACAGACGAGGGCGGCGAGGTCGAGCTGCTGCGGAAGGAGGTGGAGCAGCTACGTCAGGAGCGTCAGGAGGCCGCCAGCGCTGTCAGTCGCCTGGAGCAGGAGCTGACAGCGTCGTCTGACACCGTTTGCCGTCTAGAACAGGAACTGACAGCCTCCAAGGAGGAAGTTCAGCGGCTGTCTTCTGCCACTGAACTGGCTGACACCGTCTGCCGTCTAGAGCAGGAGCTGACAGCCTCGTCTGATATGGTCTGCCGTCTAGAGCAGGAGCTGACAGCCTCCAAGGAGGAAGTCCAGCGGCTGTCTTCTGCCACTGAACTAACGGACACTGTCGCCCGTCTAGAGCAGGAGCTGACAGCCTCGTCTGATATGGTCTGCCGTCTAGAGCAGGAGCTGACAGCCTCCAAGGAGGAGGTTCAGCGGCTGTCTTCTGCCACTGAACTAACGGACACTGTCGCCCGTCTAGAGCAGGAGCTGACAGCCTCCAAGGAGGAAGTCCAGCGGCTGTCTTCTGCCACGGAACCTACCGAAACTGTCGCCCGTCTAGAGCAGGAACTGACAGCCTCCAAGGAGGAAGTCCAGCGGCTGTCTTCTGCCACTGAACTAACGGACACTGTCGCCCGTCTAGAGCAGGAGCTGACAGCCTCGTCTGACATGGTCTGCCGTCTAGAGCAGGAGCTGACAGCCTCCAAGGAGGAAGTCCAGCGGCTGTCTTCTGCCACGGAACCTACCGAAACTGTCGCCCGTTTAGAGCAAGAGCTGACAGCTTCGTCTAACATGGTCTGCCGTCTAGAGCAGGAGCTGACAGCCTCCAAGGTGGAATTCCAGCGACTGTCTTCTGCCACGGAACTTGCCGAAACGATCTCCCGTCTAGAGCAGGAACTGACAGCCTCCAAGGAGGAAGTCCAGCGGCTGTCTTCTGCCACTGAACTTGCAGACACTGTAACCCGTCTAGAGCAGGAGCTGACAGCCTCGTCTGACATGGTCTGCCGTCTAGAGCAAGAGCTGACGGCCTCCAAGGAGGAAGTCCAGCGGCTGTCTTCTACTACGGAACTTGCCGAAACGGTCGCCCGTTTAGAGCAGGAGCTGACAGCCTCGTCTGACATGGTCTGCCGTCTAGAGCAGGAACTGACAGCCTCCAAGGAGGAAGTCCAGCGGCTGTCTTCTGCCACTGAACTAACGGACACTGTCGCCCGTCTAGAGCAGGAGCTGACAGCCTCGTCTGACACGGTCGCCCGTCTAGAGCAGGAGCTGACAGCCTCCAAGGAGGAAATCCAGCGGCTGTCTTCTGCCACTGATCTTACGGACATCGTAACCCGTCTAGAGCAGGAGCTGACAGCGTCGTCTGACACCGTCTACCGTCTAGAGCAGGAGCTGACAGCCTCCAAGGAGGAAGTACAGCGGCTGTCTGCTACGTCGGATAGCTCAGAGCATGACCGATCTTTGGCTGAAACTGTTCGTCGTTTGGAGGAAGAGCTGGCTGCCTCTAGGGCGGAGAACGAACGTCTGGCGTCCGCACTCGAGGTGCAGGCGGAACAACAGACAACCGCCTCGGCCTGCGGCACGCATGAGCCGCAGAGTGGGATGCCGGCTGGCGAGGAGCAGTCCGCCCTCGCCCTGCGACTAGAGGAGCAGGACCGCACGCTGCAAGCGGCCGCTGCAGACAGAGACAGACTAGCCGACACAGTGCAGCGTCTGGAAACGGAGCTGGCCGCGGCCAGGGAGGAAGGCCGTCAGCTGGTCTCTGCGTCTGAGGCTGCCGAGCTGAAAAATACCATCGAGCGACTCCAGTCGGAGCTGGCCGCCGCCAAAGACCAGCCACGGCCTCTTGACTCGACGTCGTCAGACGAGAAGATGGAGACCGATGACAATCTGGTGGCTAACCTACGCGAAATCATCGTCTGTCTGCAACGGCAGTTGGCTGACGCTAAGGAAGTAACTCAGCGCGAGGCTTCCACGAGTCCCGAGACGTCCGTGCCGGCCACGGCTGAGGTACAGAAAACCATCGCCCGTCTGCAGCAGCAGCTAGCGGCAGCTGAGGAGAGACAGCGGCTAGCGGGTGCCATCGGAGCTCAGAAAATGGACGTCGGAGCCGAGGAAACAGAGGCCGGAGCTCAGGAGGCGGACGCGTTAGCTCAGGATGCGGCTTCCGGAGCTCAGGAGACGACTGTTGGAGTTGAGGAGGCGACTATGGGAGTTGAAGAGACGGACGCTGTAGCTCAGGAGACGGATACTGGAGCTAAGGAGACGGATACAGGAGCCGATGCGACGGCTGTCGGAGCTCAGATGACCGCTGGCGCTGAGGCGACGGATACTGGAGCTGAGGAGACGGACGCTGTAGCTCAGGAGATGGCCGTCGGAGCTGATGAGACTGATATTGGAGCTGAGGAGACGATTGCCGGAGCTCAGGAGACGGACGCTGCAGCTCAGGAGACGGCTGCCGGAGCCCAGGAGACGGACGCTGTAGCTCAGGAGACCGACGTCGCTCGGTTGCAGGAGACCATCGTCAGCCTCCGACGGGAGCTGGCGGCTGCTCGGGCCGAAACGGAGCAGCTGATGGTGACTACCGATTTGCAAAGGGAGAATGACGACGCCGTGGCAATGGAGACGATCGACAATCTCCGCCGCGAGCTGGAGACGGCCAGGGAGCAGGCGGAGCAGCTGCTGACGGCAGCGACGGACGAGTCGCTGGAGGCGCTCAACGATGTGCGCCGAGAGATGGTCATTGAACGCGACCGACAGAACGAGGAGCGGAACCTGATGCGCCACGAGCTGCAGATGGCCAGACAGGAGGTGGCGGAGGGCGCCGCTGAGGAGCTGCAGGAGGCGGAGCAGGAGCTGGAGACCGCGCGTCAGGAGATCGAACGCCTGACGGAGGCCGCTGAGGAAGCTGAACGAGCGCGCGTTGCGCAGGCAGAGGCCTTTGCCGCGGAGAGGGCCGAACTCGAGAGAGGTTTTGGCGTGGTACAACGCAAAGTGGAGGAAATGGAGAGGTCCGTCGCCGAACAGACTGAGCTTATCCTTCACCTGCAAGCTAGGTGCGCCGCCCCGCCGGCCGCCGATGGCCAGCCGGAGCCGACTGTAGAGGAACACGCGCCGCCAGAAGACTGGCCAGAATCCAACTCCGACTCCGAGCCTTCCGAGATCGACGACTCCGAGCCTTCCGAGGTCGACGACTCCGAGCCTCCCGAGGCCGCGCGAGAGATGGATGCTGAGGTGACGACGGCGACACAGCGCCAGGAGGATGAGATCGCAACTCTACGCCGGCGTATAGAGAAGCTGCACGGGGAGCTGTCCGCGGCTATCTCCGAGGAGAAGTTCCAGGCAGCGGTGGACGAGCGGCTGCGCGGCGTTGCTGAGGGAAAACTGCATGAGGAGCTAGAGGATCGCCGAAAAACGCTGGCAGGCAGAGAAGGCCGGTCTTCAGGTGCAGCTAGAGACGGCCAGAAGTGAAAACCAGGCGCTCGCGGTTCGCCTGAAGGCGGAGGCGGAGCAGGCGACCGAGCTGGCGCAGGCGGAGGTGTCGCGCCTGCAGCGTCAGCTCGAGGCGTCCCGGGCGGAGCTGCGTGTGCAGGTGGAGCAGACGCAGCGGCAGGCTGAACTGGAGCGCGCCGGTCTGCACAGGAAGCTGGACAAGGCGTGCGCTGAGCTGGCCGCCCTGCAGGCGCAGCTGGTTACAGAGGCGGAGGCGGCCGCGCAGCGGTCCGCCGCCGAACAGGCGACCGCTGAGGAGGCGCGGCGCCGTGCACTGACCGAGGACCCGCGCCAGCCGGCGCCGGCGCTCGGCTCTCCCAGCCTGATGCCGCCGCCGCCGCCGCCGCCCGGGCCGGCGGACGCGGCCGACGCATCCATGATGGACATGTCGCTAGATGTGACTGTCTCAGGACTGTCCCTGTCGGCGCTCCGTCCGCCAGCGCCGCCCGCCGGCGAGGCCGTCTCGCTGTTCGACGAGCTGCAGTCGCTGCGCCGACGCTCGGCCGCGCCCACGCCCGCCCCCGCCGCCGCCCCGGGAACACCTGGCTGTAACGCGTCCCAGCTGCTTAGTGAGAGTATCGAAATGGACGAGTCATTGGCGGCGGGCTCGCCGGCTGGTGACCGCTCGGTCTCGGCCGGCCGCTCGGCTCTGGCCAACCAATCGTCGCTGAGTGAGGTGTCCGTGCTGACCCCCGGCGTGACGCTGGACCGCAGCCTGTTGGCGGCCGACGTGGCGGCTGTGTACGAGGAGCTGCGGCGCCTGCAGCAGCAACTGACAGCCGGCGGTGACTCGCCCGAGCAGCGGGTTCGCCAGCTGCAGGCGGAGCTCGAGCAGCGGGACGAACAGCTGCGGCAGCTGCAGGCACAGCTGGATCAGCTGCAGCGGCCAGCGGAGTCGGAGGAACGAGCCGAGAACGAGTCTGCTCTGTCGGTACCTGATTTGTCACAGCTGAACGATCACTCAACAGCCGGTATGAGTCTGACTTTGGAAGATGATGGTGAGGAGGGTCCTGCGGAGCGGAGCGGAGAGGACGAGAAGCCTGCCGACGCAGAGTTGTCTCAGGAGGCTCCTGACACCGCGGACCGGGCCGAAGTGTCACCAGACTTGGCCTCGGAAGTGGCCAAGGCGCGCTCGCTGCTTGCCGAGCTGGCTGGCCTGCCGGCGGATGGTGGCGCATCTTTGCTGGAGCTTATCCGAGCGCTGCCCCGTACTGACACCGCCGCCGAGTCAGACGCCGGCGTAGACCCGAACGTCACCTGCAGCGGGCCGGAGCCGGCGGAAATGACGTGCGTGGTACAGGCGGCCGATCTCGACCTGACGTGCGCGGACCGACCGCAGTCGGACCCAGAGCCGAGTCCCATGGAGCTGACCTGCGTGATGCAGGCCTCCCAGCTGGACCTGACGGCGGCGACCGGCTCTGACGAGAGCGCCGCGCCGCTCGAGATCAGCGTTATGGACAGCGGCGAGCAGCAGGCACCCGAGGAGGTGACGGTTCAGTTCGGCGACGCCACGCTGGCTGATCTGTCCCTCGCGCCTCAGCCCGAGCGGCCGGAGCCGGGGACGGCTCTGCGGCAGTCGCGTCAGGAGACGGACGACGTCAGGAGGCAGCTGTTACAGCTGACGGAGGAGCACCAGAACGTGCAGACGCAGCTGGCAGGACTGACGGCGGAGAAGCGGGCGTTGGAGACGCAGCTGGAGACGGCTTCGGCGGAGAAGCAGACGCTGGAGTCTCAACTGGAGGTGGCTTCGACGCAACAGCAGACGCTCGAGACGCAGCTGGAGACGGCTTCGGCGCAGCAGCAGGCCAGTGACCAGGTGGCGGAGTTCCGGGCTCGCGTGGAGGAGCTGACCACCGAGAGGGACCGGCTGGCGGCTGAGCGAGTGGCGCTCGAGCGCAGAGTCATGGTCTCTGAGGAGGACGCCAGTGAGGCCGAGTCGCGTCTCGCCACCGTCGAGGACAGCACAAAGAAGATCGAGGCGAACGTGTGGAGTCTGCTGTCCCAGCGTGACGAGCTGTCCGCTCAGCTCGAGCAGGTGACCGTGGAGAAGGACAGCCTGGCCGTGGAGCTGGAGGCGGTGACGGAAGAGCGGGAGGACGTCTCGTCCCAGCTGAGGGAGGTCACTGCCGAGAAGAGGATGTCGGTGCGTCTGGAGCGCGTCTCCTCGGAGCAACGAGCTGCGGCTGAGCGGCTGAGCGCCGTGACTGCCGAGCGGGACGCCGCCGCTGCGCAGGTCACAGAGCTGACGGAGGGACACCAGGAGCTGCAGCGCCGTATCGAGGAGGCGCGCCAGCAGCAGGCTGAGATGGAGAAGCAGCAGCAGCAGCTGGCGGACCAGGACCCGGCCGCTGGCGAGACAGCCGATCAGCTGCTGCGGCGCCTGGTGGCCGCGCGCGCCAGTCTGGCCAGCGCGCGCGCTCAGCAGGCTAATGAGCGAGACGTGGCCGCCGGCCTCCGTCAGCTCAACGAGCAGTGTCTGGCCGACAACGAGTCGCTGCGCGCGGCCACGGCGGCAGCCGAGCAGCGACTGGCTAAGCAGACGGCTCAGCTGACCGAGCTGCGCGCTCAGCTGGCCGGCCTGGATGAGCTGCGCGAACAGCAGCATCGCGACAGCCGCGAGTGCGAGCGGCTGCGGCGCACACTGCAGGAGGCTGAGGACACCGACCGCGAGCTGACTGCGCTCTCCGCGCGGCTGGTGCGGGCAGAGGAGGCCGCCGCCGCCGCCCGGCGCGCGCACGAGATCGCCGAGCGGAGCGCCGCCGACGCGGCTGCCGCGCTGGCCGCCGCCACCGCCGGCCAGGAGCAGCACGAGGCGCTTCTCTCCGCGGCTGAGCAGCGCGCCGAGCGGGCCGCCGCCGAGCTGGCTGAGGCCCGCGCTGAGGCCGCGGAGGCGCAGCAGCGTGCTGACGAGCTGGCGCCGCGCCTCTCGCGCGCCGAGGCAGAGCGGGACGAATGCCGCGCGCTGCTCTCTGAACTAGAGGAGCGCACCGCGCGCGAGACGGAACGGCTGGCGACGGCAGCGGCCGAGAGCAGCGGTGACTGCCGGCAGGCGAGCCGCGAAATCAGTGACCTGCGCGAGATGCTAGCCAGTCGCCAGGAGGAGCTGCAGTCGCAGGCCGCCTGTCTACAGAAGGTCCGATCCAAGCGGCAGGAAGCCGAGAAACTGGCCGAGACGCTGACCGGCGAGCGTGACGCGCTGGCCGCCGAGAAGGCCCGGCTCGAGTCGGAGCTGGCTGCACTGACTGCCGAACGGGACGAGCTGACCGCCACCGGCGCCGCGCTGAGGGAGGAGCTGTCTACCGTGCGCCAGGCCGCCGACGACCTAAAGACTAAACTATCTGAGACGAGAGGGCGTCTGGAGCGACTGCAGCACTCTGCGTCCGAGCGTCAGTCGCAGCTGCAGTTCGAGCTAGACGAGAGGGAGGTGGGCCTTCTGCACGTCCAGGAGGAGCACGAGCAGCTCCAGCAGCAGCACAAGCAGCTGCAGCAGCAGCACGAGAGCAGCAGCAACACAGAGCAGCTCACCCGGCAGGACGGGCAGGCGCAACAGCGCCTTATTCAGCTACAGGTCCACTGTTACTTTGCACGAGCTTCGTACTGCAGGTTACTATCGTATAGATCATTTTGAATCCTAGTTGTTAATGTATATTTAATATTTACCCGTGTGTGATAAATTACGTAGCAATGAGACTAGATGCACCAAAATGTATGTAGTACACTAAGTTTTATTCGAAGCGATGGTATTTGATATGCCTTATTCACCTGGGATCGATCTGATTCACACACTAAATTATCGCAGGCTTCGTGCTCCAATCGCAGTGTCCCTCCCGTGCTGACCGGAATGTCGGCGCCTGTGCCCTCCAGGGAAGCCTGGACCACATGACCGAGGTGCTCGCCTCCGTGAGGTCGGAGGCGGAGGCGCGGGTCGCCTCCCTGGCGGCTTCCCACGAGGCGCAGGTGGCGGCGCTCTCAACGGAACGGGACGAGCAGCTGGCAGCGGCTGCGGCTGAGCTAGAAAACCAGCGGACATCCGCCGCGGCTGAGTTAGAAAACCAGCGAGCGGCAGCCGCAGTTGAGCTAGAAAACCAGCGGAAATCTGCTGCGGCTGAACTAGAGAAACAGCGGACGGCGGCCGAGACCGAGCTAGAAAACCAGCGGACAGCAGCCGAAGCAGAACTAGAAAACCAGCGGACGCGGCCGCTGCAGAACTAGAAAAACAGTGCGCCGCAGCCGCGGCCGAGCTGGAGACTCTGCGGAAACAGC